AATATCTGAAAATTACAAGGCTATACTAGCTATCGTCATTTGGTTTAAAAAACGATGATGATTTTGTTACTATTTTTATCATCATAATTATTATTATTATTATTTTATTATCATTATCATTATTATCAATGTTTTTAACATTACTATAGTAATTACAATCAGCCATGCATGAAGTTTTTCGTCTATGGCTGATCATCAACGAAACGGAGTAAAGTCTTCTGTCAATATCGTTTGTTGCTACGGCAGGCAGCCAGTGAAAACGAATTCTTTTAATACAATTATGGAAATGCAAGCCTTACTTTAAACAAACAGAACTTTGTTATTCCTTGCTTATTTTTCCTTATTGAGGAGTCATTTGAAAGGGCAGAAATTGAACTTTCTAGAAAATAATGTGGTGTTTTCTTCTTTGAAATTCAGATACCGTCTGCCAAATGACTTTTTGATTCCCTCTCTTCAAATTGATTTTAATCACTCATGCGTGATATATGCATCCTATGAGCTGCATCAAATGAAAGAGGAGGATATAAGCTTTACAAATATGTGTCATTTATTAATTATAATATTAAGTTATGATAAAACATCGATAATTCTCGGTTCGTTTTTTTTCTGGGACGCACTGTATAAAACTAGATTTCAAACAGGGAGGGGCTGTTGTGACCACTGCCCATTTATATGGAGACAAATCAGTCATGATTACCATCTCTTCTGGTGATTAACTTTCGATTATTTTGTTATTCTATATTTCTCTTTTCTCGAGGCAATACACAGACTCAGCTGCATCTACAGAAACAATCATTTGACAGAGGCCTCATAATGATATCACGATTACGTCATATAGCAATTATCTAACATGCCATACTCTATAATTACTCCGCGTGATATCCGAGCTGGTAGAAAATATGTTTTTCTTTGGGGGGAAAAATATTGATAAAGAAAGCTCTAAATTGGACAAAATGGCAAACGGGGTCAAATGAATCGCTATTTTCGCGGCTGGTGGTATGAAAAAGAACGAAAATAAAAATCATTAATGATTGTATTCATTTTGCAGACAACACAGCCATTAAGATTTAGCTTATATTAACTTAAAGGTTGGGAATTTGAAGCTATTATTTTTGAAAAGTCTTGTATGGCAACCTTTTCAATGATGACATAATAGATCTTTCAAGGGAAAGAGACCGTTGGGTAGAATTTGGTTTCCATTTTGATTTATTTTTTCTTTGGTATTGGACAAAACTCGAAGGTAATATGCATTTATCAGCCCTTGATTATTAATTCACGTTTAATATGCGTGGTCATTAAGGACTAAACTTTTTATCGGCGGGGGGGATAAGACCACACAAAAAATAAGAAGAAAAAGAAGAAGAAGAAGAAGAAGAAGAAGAGGAACAGGAGAAAAGAAGAAAAGAGAAGAAGAAGAAGAGGGAGAAGAAGAATAATAATAAAAAGAAGAAGAAGAGAAGAGGAACAGGAACAGGAGAAAAGCAGAAAAGAAGAAGGATAAGAAGAAGGAGAAACAGGACATGTAGATCGAAAGACAGCTCACTGAGTCCTCTAAAAGTTGTCAGAAGGCCCAGGAGACAGACGCCCTTATTTACCGTCGGTCTTGTGAAATCTGAGATAACTATTCAGGATCTCTGCGAGACCGACACTGCCGGTCTAGTTGGTTGTCAGTCGCCAAGAGAAAAAAAACGAAACTCAATAACATTTTAGGAGAAAGAATGAAAGAGATAATTGCGAAATGCAAAATTCCACCACGGCGTATGACATGCATCCTAAAATATAAACTATTCATTCGATATTTTTATAATAGAAAGAGTTTCAGGTGCATGGTCCGAGGAGTTGATTATGAAATAACTATCTCTATGTTAGGACGAAAATGTCAAGTTTCATCCTTCATTTATCATGAAACGCCAAGAGAGAATGTATAATGTAACAAAATTGCGAGAAATAGAGAAGAGTTCAGAACGCTAGAAATAAAAATAAATAAAAAGATAATGAACAAGTGATATAGAGAGTATGATCAAAAGAACGTAATGGGAACATTGTAATACTACAATTTGATTAATGACTAGGTCGAAGAACAACAGGAGAGCATTTTCTTACTTTCTACTCATTAATGTCCACTGAGCCACAGTAATAACCTGGAAAATCTTTGCGGCCATATGTATATTAGTTACAGGGCTGGTACACCCTCTATACCTAAAGGGGGAGAGATAGAGATAGAGATATATATATATATATATAGAGAGAGAGAGAGAGAGAGAGAGAGAGAGAGAGAGAGAGAGACAGGCAGACAGACAGAGACAGAGAGAGAGAGAGAGAGAGAGGGGGAAAAGAGAGAGAGATGGAGAGAAATAGAGAGAGACAGGCAGACAGACAGAGATAGAGAGAGAGAGAGAGAGAGAGAGAGATGGAGAGAGATAGAGAGAGACAGGCAGACAGACAGAGACAGAGAGAGAGAGAGAGAGAAAGAGAGAGAGGGGGAGATATGGGGAGAGATAGAGAGAGAGAGGGGAAAGAGAGAGAGATGGAGAGAGATAGAGAGAGACAGGCAGACAGACAGAGACAGAGAGAGAGAGAGAGGGGGAGATATGGAGAGAGATAGAGAGAGACAGGCAGACAGACAGAGACAGAGAGAGAGAGAGAGAGAGAGGGGAAAGAGAGAGAGAGATGGAGAGAGATAGAGAGAGAGGCAGACAGACAGAGACAGAGAGAGAGAGAGAGAGAGAGAGAGAGGGGGGAGATATGGAGAGAGATAGAGAGAGACAGGCAGACAGACAGACAGAGACAGAGAGAGAGAGAGAGGGGGAGATATGGAGAGAGATAGAGAGAGACAGGCAGACAGACAGAGACAGAGAGAGAGAGAGAGAGAGAGGGGAAAGAGAGAGAGAGATGGAGAGAGATAGAGAGAGAGAGAGGCAGACAGACAGAGACAGAGAGAGAGAGAGAGAGAGAGAGAGGGGGGGAGATATGGAGAGAGATAGAGAGAGACAGGCAGACAGACAGAGACAGAGAGAGAGAGAGAGAGAGAGAGGGGAAAGAGAGAGAGAGATGGAGAGAGATAGAGAGAGAGAGAGGCAGACAGACAGAGACAGAGAGAGAGAGAGAGAGAGGGGGGAGATATGGAGAGAGATAGAGAGAGACAGGCAGACAGACAGACAGAGACAGAGAGAGAGAGAGAGAGAGAGAGAGGGGGGGAAGAGAGAGAGAGAGAGAGATGGAGAGAGATTGGAGGGGAAGGGTGGGGGCGGATCGTAGTCGAAAATTTATCTTCAATTTGTCAGTTTTATTGAGAGGGCGCTTTTCTATCATTGTCGTATACTAATGGTTGCTATCGTTTTCTTCTCCATTAGTGTAGACACATGCATGACTGTGTCGAGTTATTTTAGGGGCATGCATGTTTCCCATATTTTGTACAGTCTTTTCAATTCGATTCAACTCAATTCAATTTCGGTTTTATTGTTAAATGAAAAAAGAACATGGCAAAAATCGAGAGACTTATATTGTCATATTTATGTTTTTAATGTAAATAATAACACTAATTTTGTAAACAGAACACCATTGTAAATAAGCTTTTCAGCTTTCACGGGTAATCCCGTCAAGTTATTATTATTGTTATTTTGTTTTCATCTTATTATATCATGTTACTCTTTGTATTCATGTTAAATTATTACATTGAACTTGATTAATAAAAAACCAAACCAGAAGAGCAAACACCCTCGCGTCCAAGGTGTAGTAACTTGGTACCTATAATGGGAAGAAATAGACAAGGCCGGAGAAATATTGGAGCAATAATTGACCATTGGAAAGAGAGAGAGAGAGGGAGAGAGAGAGAGGTTCATTGAAATTATTATTGGAATTGAACAAAATATCACTGTATTAGTTGATTGATAGTATCTTCATCAATATCAGCAAAACTAAATACATGACTCTTCGTTCACTTACCAATAGATATTGGCAAAAAGAATTTCCATTTTCGGTTTAACTTAATAACATTTGGAGTGGACTTTAAAAGATTATTATTAGTATTAATATTATTATTATTATTATATCAATGAGTATGTGTACCTGACTTTAAATAGCTCTTTAAAGCTATAATGCTATAGTGTGGAGTTTGGGCCTACGTTAGTACTAATTGCTATCCATATCTTCTGTGTAGTTAAAACTGCTGCAGTAGATTACCAGAAGCTGTTTCTTTAATTCTGCTCTCCTTGGTTAGTTTGGATGGTCGTCTAATTAGCAGACAGTTGTTCGAGCGGTATTCTTTGCCTGTCTACTTGCACAAAAGCCTCCTTTTCTTGATCTTCTCGCTTTTGTTCGCTCGTTTTCTTAACGCATGCTTTCACTCTGGATCGACAGCTTGGAGAGAGGGTTAGAAGAGAAAGTGACCGAAAGGGGTCGCGTGTTCTTGTTGCACATCCTCACTGCCAAGAAGTTATGATTTACTGTTTTTTTAAAAGAATCGAAACGGGATCGAAACGAAGACACCACTTTAATTAAGCTCATAGGTCCGCTTGGAGCAGTCATTATAAGAGGGTATGGTGGCTCAGCGATATAGCAATGGTCTCGTAACCGGGAAGACACGGGTTCAAAGTCAAATGCTCCTCAGTAAGGCAATGAACCTCATTAACAATCCCTCGAATAGAACTGAAAGCATATGGTTCCTTATTTTTTATTCAAATACACTTTCTTTCAGTTGAAATAATTCGTTCACATTATAAGCATAATGCATCATTGCGAAGTGCGCGCTAGGCTGAAAAAAAGGAAAAAAACGATTTGCGCACGCGCACATAATTTTATATCTGATGGATAAAAGTTCTCCTAAACCATGAATCATGTTAATGGAAGCAGTGTGGAGAAGCTGCGCAGTAACACTATTTCTAATAACCTATTGAGCACCATCGCTTCTGAAGAATAATTGGTTATAAATTGAACGTCAATCAAACATTGTCACGAAGCCATAGGCCACGCCCACCTCATATTCGGTCAGACTGACATCGAAAATCATTCTATTATCACTTCTTATAAAATGACTACAGTATACAAATCTTTTCATTAGTTGAGTTGATAACGGAGAACAGCTACATGATACCCACTTTTAATTCATTCGATTTAATTTCTCGAACTTGAACAGGCGGTTTATTGTATTCGAAGTTTTTCAAGAGATTTGACTATAACAACAAAAACGATTAGTGGTATATGGCTGCAATATATGTGAAGTACTAAAACAGTGATATGCGCATTATTTCGTTGGTATTGCTATTTTAATGGAGGAAGCTTATTTCGTCTGAAATGCTAATCTATCAAAGCATATATCAATAGGCCTTATAGTGAAGAGCAACGGTGGAATAAAAACGATTAATTGATTGATAGCAAGGTATCAACGCAAGCATTTCTGATCGCCATCACTTGAATTAATTTGTATCAGTTTCATCTGCTGTTTATCACCGGGTTTGGAAAGACGATCAGTCACAACATAACAATGGATGGAGCGCATCACCCCATCACCGCCATGTCATCATCGCTAGCCTGCCCCGCTAGCATCGGGCACGGACCAGAAGGCCTTCCCCACAACCCACCTCCAATCATGCGTGCTCATCCAGAGAAAATATACACCACCGGACACGGAGGCGAAGATACGCCAAAGTTTCCCCGACCGAGTCACTCCATAGACGCTATTCTTGGAATGCAGCAGTCCAGAGCGGACAGGATTTTCCGGCCCTTGTTCACGGGGCCCAACCCCTATGCTGGCATATTGTCTAGCCGTCTTGGCCCGGGTGGAGAACACATGCTACCCCTCAATCTAGCCCTAAAGGCGGAACAACAAAATATGACTGCAAGAAAAACCGGTAAGCCTTTATTCTATTTCGTTCTATTTTTTGTTCCTCAAAAGAAGATATTTTCTATAAGCAACAGTTACTGTTATAGCAAATACAAAAATAGAAGAAGAATGTAGGCTTTGTGGAAAATAAAGTAAATTTCAAGAATTAAAAGAAAACTGACAAACTCTTTGAAAGCATTTTTAACTTTAGGAATTAAATTCTCAAATAATATGAAAGTGATATATAACCAATGGCCGGTAGTCTAATACCGTCAATCTCATTTAAGGTTGATATACAAAAATATCAAAGCGAAACAAATACTAGAGAAATATGCATTTTTTCGTAATCCTGACTAAATGCCGGCGTTTCATACGCAAACACTATTTTTTCTACGAATAGTCTGAAGGCCATTTCGATTTACAATAATATTCTGAATATATAAATCCTGTATTGTTAAGCTCATGCCCTGACAACATTATTATTTTCTCCGCGATCAAATTCTAGCACCCAACGAAACAAAACAATTTCCTTTTTGATGTTAATTTCACTTACAAAAAATATCAAACTATCAATATGAAAATAATAATAATAATAATAATAACGTTTTATTTACCCAGGGTAGCCACTTCAGTTATGAAACTGCTCTTCCAGCGGGCCCTGCATAACATAACATGTTATTACTACCCTTCTCCAATCTAATATGCTGAGGGCAGAAGGTTCCATTGTTATAAGTCTTTGGTATGACTCGGCCGGGGATCGAACCCACGACCTCCCGTTTGTGAGGCGGGCGCGCTAACCACTGAGCCACCATGCCCGGTTAAATTTCTCAGTTGTTGACTGTTCAAAGCATTCAATTAGCAAAAGTGGAAGTCAATATCATTCCCAAATCCCCCTTTTTTTGGTCCATAGAAACAGAACTCTTATTAATATCTGTCCATTTCCTGAACAAACCTCTACAATAAGGGAGTTTACAGATAGCACATGGTACAAATGACCCCAAATATCCACAGATCTGTTACACATGGAGAAGTTCCACTTTGAGCATGTTAGAATAATAACTGCCAAAGTCCTAGATGTGCTTCATGAATACCTTTTGTTTGCCCTCTTGAAAAGAATACTTCCACCTGCGTATCATAGAATGTACCGTTGGTGCATAAATGAATAATGTTACATAACTTTCATGAGCGCATATCCAGTATTCATCTCTGTGGGTTTTACCTTTTTGGTACAATGACCTTTATCTGCCCATGTGCAGATTGTATCTGTAAACTCCCTTATTACCAATATAGGAGGGCCTAACATAAAATTCTGCATCATTTTGTATAATTTATAGAGGTGTCGTAGTCTAATGATTTAAGCACTGTCTTAATTGACTTGAAAATAATGAAAAGGTTGTGGATTTGATCCCCGACACGGCGCTAATGCCCTCTGGCAAGGCTTTAATCTACGTTTGCCACTCCATACCCACGAGAGAAATGGGGACCTGGTAGGATGACGAAAGACTTTGTGTTAGTATTTGCCATTTGCCCTATATGGTGACCATAATGGTAGGACTACACCCCAGGGAGTGGAGATGGTGCACATTGTGTGTGAATAAATCCGATGACCGGGTAATTATTATCTGTAAAGCGCTTAGAGACGTAATTCATATTAAGCTCTATATAAATCCAGATTATCATTATCATTATAGATTATTATTATTTGTAAAGCCCTAAAATCATGAAAATGTATGTACTTCCTCCTTGTTTTCCAAAAAGGCATTATACAAACATTGCAGGACAAAATAAATCTATTTAGCTATCAAACTGTGGCTCAAAGTTGGGCCGATATGAAGCATGGGCGAGTTGTAGCACTCCTACTCCTATAGCTTCTGCTATTGATAATGCGATCTCAGAAAACCGATTGAGATGCTATTATAACCATGTATTAATCTTGATGATATATATATATATATATATATTTTTTTTACAGTACGGCTTAAGTACTAAAAGTCTTTCTCCCTTTGTATAAAATCAATTATTGCTATTTTATTTTTGTGCATATTGTACGATTACGAACAAAAGCTACTTCAAGCATCAATATATCCGCCACCAGCAGTCCCTGTAAGGAGTGCCCTAATTATAAAGGCCAATCAAGTTGGTTCGTTGCTGCTCAGATGATGTTATGATTGTGTCACTAAATCTATCAAAAAGCACAAGTAACAAAACATTTCCTAGTATTAAACATGAATACACATGCAATGCAACGTGAAGCGCATGATGGAAGAATATGGAAGTGTAATATAGCAGAGAAAGGCGACTGCACATTGCATGACAAAAAAGCGACTAGATCTAAAAACAACCATGACCCTACCAGATGAAAAAATATTGTATTAACAAAAATTAAAATTGAATAAAAAGGAGATATTGTGTATTCAGAAATAGATTATTACGGTGTGTGGGGGGGGGGGGGGGGGGGGGGTTCAATCTTCACTGGGCATGCTCAGGTGCAACTTTGTGGTATGAAATGTCTTCGAAATCATTACATCACGCATGTATACTCGGTGGCAATTGAAGCTTCCCAAATTTTAACTTAATTTGAGTTTTATTTTCTTTCTTTGGGGTAAAAATCAATTCTAAAAAGTATAATAATAGAACAATATAAGCTAATGTATTGAGGTGATCACAGTCATACAAGTTGGGGCCGGGCGGGGGGAGGGGGAAGGAATGTCCAGCCTTAGAATTTTGAAAATATGCATATTCAAGCATCCGTCACTTCATATTTTTTATTTATTCTAACCTTTTCAGTATATTAGGTCGCCATTTTTTTTGTTTTTTTATTCAGAGGCGTCAGTATATTATATATTCTTGGCAAAATTGCACCCCAACGCCCTTCCATGAACTCTTACAGTATTATTTAGTTTTGTATATGTATTCTACTATTCAATTGCCCATGTGGCTTAATTGGAGAATACATACTAAATCACAAAAATTAAGCCTTTCATAATTTAATACTTTGTCAACCCTCATGTTTGATGTTTTCGATTAGTTACAGCCAGTCTTACTTTATTCTACTTTTTTCATGCATTGTGTAAAATTGACATTATTTTGTTTGTTACATATTTGTAACACTGAAGAAAAAGAAAATCAAACAGAAATTTCATTTCCGATTAGGTCATTATGTCGGCATCAATTAGAGTCACTGTAGAAAATGTTTAGATCACTACGTCGGCATGTCTTATTTTTTAAAGCTATTATCGTAGGGGCCGGGGAAAACGGGGAAATACACGTTGGTCACTTTTGAACGTGTAAAATTGATATTTCCATATTTCGTTTGATTTTCTGTCAACTCAAAATCGAGAAAAAAAGTGGGGAAAATTCGAACAATAATGAGTTAAACTACTCTTTGCTGTGAGAATCACTGAGAATAAATCGTTATCGATAAATCAACAAAGACATTGTATCTCTGAATCTATCGTTGCATCAATCAACAAAATAAAAACAATGACACAATAATAACAAATAAAAAAATAATTAAAAATAAAATGCACGCTTAATGTCATGTGATTAAAGTGCGAAAGAAACTTTGTGGAAGCGATCGGCAAAAGCTGATTACGTAATATTTGATGCACACTGTGAAGGTTTCGAACCATCAAAACGAGAAAAAAAAATTGATTCAATCTTGCTGGAGATCACAATAGATGAACTGCACACAGAACTAGTTATATGGGAATATACACAATAATTGTTTGATTCAAACTTTTCAGCTTTTTATATACCCTTGTTTTGATCGAATACATACAATAAGCACAAAAACCTAAACCAAAAAACTAACAAAACTAAAAAAAAGTCGGTTGTCACAACATAATGCCATTGCTACATTCGGGATCGTTATGAAGTAGAAAACAGAAATGAATTGACCTTTGACCTTTTACTCATCCAATATATCCCCAGATAATCATCAGGCGTTTGGGTGGCGGTAGAAAAACGGTGGCAAAGAGGGATGAAAATTACGGCCGTATAGTTTTAAGAAAATTAACGCCGTGAATTTTGCATGCAATTTGTTCTGGATGGTTAGCGTTATGCTAATTAATTGATGAGCGCATTTAATCGAATTAGATCAAACGCGGAGGTAGTTCGGGCTTGTAGTTTCTTTCAACCATACACTGTATCGAGAAAGCGCTATTATGAGGGGCCATGCATGATATCATAACAAAAGGGGGGAAACGACAATTCGATATGAATCATTATTATGGAGCGCCTTCATGCAATGGTCTTCAAAGTGGCGTTAATGCGGCGAAATTACGATTTAAATGCACCTGCTAATTAATGTTTTCATCTAATTTTTTTACTCCAATTCACCGAACGTTCTTTCATAGCAAATCCTGGGTTGATATACAATTAAATCATCATTGGTAAAGTGCTTTTATCGAACACTTTCTGAAATGTCTTACTTTCTATGAATTGCTAATTGGCCATTCTCATCCTCTATCTCTCCTTCTCTTCATGCACACACTATTCTGCTAAGCTGATCAGAAAGAAAATTCTTTACTTTAATATTTTGTACTTATATAACGCATTTTAAACGAGTCACAGCCAATTGTTCTTGTTATATAATTCATAATGATTACATAATCACATTACATAGCGGCGTTTCATCTGTAAACAAAAATTGGTCATGAAGAACTTTAACAATTTCTCCTCGGGGCGAACTGTATTTTTCATTATGTACTCCTACACTTGACCCAAACTCTCTTTATCTCTCTCTCTTTCTCTCTCTCTCTCAGCTTTCTTTCTTTTATCTCCTTATCCCCTCTGTCTTTCCCGTTAATTTCTTCTTACTCGTTTTCCTCCTCCTCTTTCTTTCTGTCTCTTACTCTCTCCTTTCTCTCACTCTTTCCCTCTTCCTCTATCTTCCCCTCTCTCTCTGCCTCTCTCTCCCTCTTGTCTATACTTCCTCTTGTCTTCTTACTCCTCCTCTTCTCTTAAATACGCTTTCTTTTCTTCTCTCTATCCATTTACTTTTATCTCTCTTCCAGTCCCTCTCTA